GATTTTTTCGAGATTTTTTTGTCCCTGTTTAATACCTTGCAGGAACTTTTACCCACGTTCAATCGTGCTGCAAATACTGTGTCGTTCGCCGGTGGTTTACGTATTCGTAATTTGTACTATAAACTGAAATCTATCGTCATTTTTGACTTTACCCAAAATGACGCCCATATTTTAAATATTTATCACACTTAAATTAAAAAATTAAAAATTAAAATTTTGTCATCCAATATTTAATAAACACTTATATTCACGTACGTAATACTTGTTTTACTTGTCTATAAATTACATAATTGTAGTAAATGACTAAAAAACTAAAGGAAGTTGTATATTTTAGATGAATAATATATAATAATGACTATGAAGAACAACTGATATACTACAGTTATATTTATATATATAGCATACCAAGTATAAGAACGGTGTTGCGAAGTACTATTTGCTCTTATCAAAATATCCAGACCAAGCAAAACCACGTTTCGTATGAAACATAAAAGTAAAGATACCTATATGGGTCCCAAGAGAGCATTATATGCAAGAAATATCGTAAGGAAGTTTGACATCTAAGTCACTCTAATGTAAATGTATTCCTTATAGAATACCAGACATTGATTTCAAATAAATTTATTCGGAATTTATGTGAGTATAGGTCAAACTGAATTGGGTCGTCGGTAAGTAAAATCATAAGATGCCGAGTTTAATTGTCGAGCATTTATAAACCAATTTATAATTTTTAATAAATACAAAGCAGCTACACCACAAATAAACAAGACACATTCACATAAATAAAACCAAATTCACAACATGGTTAAAATAGATGTATAGAAAAACAACAGTGTCACTAAGACCAGGCGGTATCTGTTTTGGTTTGCGTAAACCGTATATAATCTTATAGCATTTTTCATATAAAAATGCTTGCACGTCACAATTTATATAAAGTGACGTCACTTATATTTCAAATTTCCACAAGGTCAACCTTAGAGTTTAATTTTTTCTAACACAGCTAATAATACGAAGCTCATTCGCAACTGCTCGACATTTCATAGGCGTCAACATGGTGTAATAATTAGAAAATGTTATCTGTCATTATATTGGGAATTTTAGAATTATATTGAGTAAATAACCCCAAACATTTGTTATTATTAATAATATAAATTTTACAAAATAACTTTTTAAGTCTAATATTATACAAAATAATAATTTTAATTAAATAGATTAAACAATTTTACGCAGCTGATACGGGAATACTTCAAATTTTATTAACACTTTAGCGTGTGGTAAAATTATATGAATTATTGCCTCTTTTTTAGAGTAAGAATTTTGTTTATGTTTTGATTTATTACACAATTTGATCATAATATAATATAAAACAATAAATTGTATTTCTAAATACATACTAAATTTAGATTTAGAGTTTCAAAAACTAATTATTGTTGTGTATTGTGATTGTGTTATGCCGAAACAAATAAATAGTATGTGGAAAGCCGATAAGCTTTCATATAAGATAGATTATTTTGCACAAGAAATAATGGCGGGATGTTTTTACTGTTAAAACCCTAAGAGATTTAGAATATATAATTTTGTAATAAAATGTTTTCTTATGTATTTTAGTGTGTATTAAAAGTGTGTCTTAGTATCTTAAAACTAAGGATATTTACTGTTAATATAATAATTTGACAATAAGTTGACATTTTAAAAATTTTTGATGAACTCTTCTGATGCTTTGACAACGCTGTGGGGTTCTGTCGTCATAAATCTTGAATAACATATATGAAATATGCTATAATTAGTTTCTTTAACCCGTAACCGGCGACGCCGACGTTGAGTTTAAGCGGCATTTGCGAAATTAAAAACCGGTGTAAGATATTGAAGCTGACGACTCTGGATGGCCTGAAGCTAAGTAACTTTCTAAATATAGTTCATATACCAAAAGTTTTTGTTAGGTTCACTAGGAAACTACGTTCCTGTAGCTGGCTGTATACCATATATCACAAAAAATTTTATTTCAAATCCTTTATAAAAGATATATAATAAAATGCCCAAACGGGCTATCACAATTACATTACAGAACGTTTTCGGAATGTTAATTCCATCATCAGTGTAAACCTGAAAGTATATAACCACTTTAATTAAAAAGAACGTTGAATTTAAAATGTTGACTAAGGTTAAAGCAAAATGTGGTTAATACTTACGGAGTATACATGCTATGAGCCACCAAAATGTATGGGTCAAAATCCTTTAAATGTTACAAATGTATAGTTGTTTTACATTATTTATAATTACAAATTAGGATGTTTAAGTTACCGTTGGAATTGGTAACATGGCGACGTATGACCCTATATAGGTTATATGGTCCTGAGACGAAGTGTCTTTGAGGACCTGTTGATAACAACTGACAAAATTGACATTGTTGACATGTTAGGACGAATGTTGGTTCAGAGCAGTCAGCGTAACTTAAGGTAGTTTCTAAAATTACGTTCTGTAATGTAACTGTGATAGCCAGTTTGGGCATTTTATTGTATACCTTTTATAAAGGATTTGAAATAAAAATTTTTGTTAGATGTTTACGTTTAGCCGTTTGCGAGAACAGACGTTATTGGAGTCAGCGAGACTCAACGATACCGCTAGTTACTTTTTATCGAGCGTTTTATATTTCTTCGTATAAACTATAATTAATCATTGACCAAGTTCCTCACGATAGGTTAGTGTTAAAGATCCAAAATTTGAAGAGAAAGTGTGTGTAAACAACTATGTGTACAATGCGTATGTATATACAGGCCAAGATACCGACGGAATGGACTTTTCAGTATCTGAGAAAAAGCTTGCTAAACCTACTCAATCTGTGTAACGGCTTTCTAAGCCATTATTTGGCAGTAATCGTAATGTGACAGCTGACAATTGGTTCACGTCTATAGAACTAGTTCAGTTATTTATATCTAATGGCCTAACATATGTGAGAACTATGAAAAAGGTTAAAAGACATATTCCTCCTGAGTTTCTTCCTCAAATGCATAGAGAGATTGGTTCAGTTAGATACGGTTGTACAAAAGACATTACTCTTCTTTCGTATGTTAACTAAAAAAACACAGAGTCGTCATACTAGTATCCTCCATGCATCATAGTATAGCCGTAGATAAAAAAACACAAAAACCAGAAATAATTAGTCTGTATAATATGATGAAAGGCGGCGTTTGTGCTTTGGATAAAAATTGTACGTATACAGTTTGTCCAGAAGAACGCAACGTTGGCCAATGGCTGTATTTTACAAAATACTAGATATGAGTATAGTTAACGCTTTCGTTCTGTATCAGTGTTATAGAGAATCCAAACCCTTAGACAGGAAAGATTTTATGAAGGTACTGGCTAAAAGCTTAATTAAAGCACACATAAAACAACGAATGTATAGCAGCAGGATCCCAACAAAAATAAAAGAAAACATAAAACGAATACTGTGAGTGGTTAAACCTCATTATATTTATGAAAATCGATTAGAAGTTCGAAAATATTGCTACATTTGTCTATCAAACCTTTATAGAAAGACATTTTATTTATGCGTCTGTTATAATAAACTTATTTGATCGACTTGTTCTCATAAAATATGCAGAAACTGAAAAAATCATAAAATATGCAGAAGTTGAAGAAGAATAAAAATATAATCTCCTTTTTTTCTCCATATTTACACCCTCCCCTGCACGTTCCGTTACGTTTAGACTACTGATGATAATTTTTATTACCATAGATTATTCAATATTTGTTATACCTAATATTAAAACCATTTGTACATACTACATTTTATTAAAATTTAGAAATATTAAAAAAACATTAAGTTTTGCGACCTAACACCGTACTTTATTTATTTGCAACTTTTGACAAAAATGTTAATAATAAGAAAAGTTAGTAACAAAAAGGCAATAGGAGATTGCAAAAATGCCTGAAGAACATTCAGGCATTCAGGAGGAGCATTCAGCCTCCACGTCACCGGTTATGTCCCTAAAATCGGACCTCACCGGTTACGGGTTTACCGCTTTGAAATATTATTAGAAATGATAATTTAACTATGCGTACTCTTCAAAATGTGGGCTACATGTTTCATTAAACAATTTGTGAAAAAAATACGAAAATTTCAATATTTTTTCTCATTTTCGTTACTATATCTTGGCAGCTATTCATTCATATCAAATAGCTTGGCAGCTATTCATTCATATCAAATAAGGTAAAAAGCGTTAAAAATGTTTTTTTAACCTTTTTTTTATTCATTAAAAACCACATAGAACTTTTAAAATTTACCCAGAAAATATTTCAGATATAAAGAAAACTAAAAAACACTTTACAAAACTTAACACAATCGATCAAGTATTCTTTGCAAAATAATTTTGTGATCTAAATTTTTGAAAAAAAAAGTTATTGTTTTCAAACTTGCAGAAACAACAAAAAATATTGAATTAATTTAAAGTTTTTTACACATAAAACGGTATTTAAGCTATCAAATAAACGTCGAATAATTAAAATCATTTAAATAGAAGCACCTAGGGATTTTTCACTGTACTATTTTAAAGCTAATAAACAGATACAACTTATTTAATTTTTATTTAACATTTTTACTCTAAACTTACGTTCACGCGTAAAAGTAAAAGATGCGTATTTAAAAAGAAAATCAATAAGTTGGGTCAATAATTTCCAAATTCAGATTCAGACGTGAACGGTTTGACTAATTTGTGCTTAAATTATACCGTCGATGGTGACGTGGTGTAGGTGGAGGTTGGCAAGGGGGTTAACGTGATGATAGGCGCGGGGATTAGCAGAGGGTTGACGCGAACATTTTTGGTAGAAAATATTGTCCACAATTGTCAATATAAATGAGTCAGATAAAATTAAATTATTAGAAGAATTTTTCACTATGTAACAAAGAACAATGTGGCTTATTCCCAGTTAAATAGTAATTAATGCAAAAATCTAATCTCTCTGCCGTAGAGAACTAGGCCCAAATTGTATTAATCGAATCAATGGCGCTCAATACCTTATTGACCGGCCTCAATCCAAAAATCGGTCACATCATTTGTGCTAGTAATCCAAAAGATCTTCTTGAAGCTCAAGTCCGTACCAGACGAGAGTTACAATTATCTTATTTCGAAATACAGAAAATCAATCGACCCAATCCCCCAAAACCCAATCAAAACAATCAACCCATTAGAAGACCAAACCTTCAACCACATAGATTCACATTTTGTGGACGTATGGGCCACTCGTACAACGAATGTCGTTCTCGACAAAATTCCCAAAATAATTCGCAGAATTCCAACAACTCTCATAATTTTAACAATTCTCAAAATTTTAATAGCCATCAAAACTTTAATAATACTCGAAACAATGGCTGAAAATCAAAATAATTCACAAGTACGCCCTTCTGTAATACGTAAGAATCCCAATTTTTCGAACGATAGGCACAGAGCTCATTTCGTTAACTATGAGCCTGACTGTATTAACGACTATACTTCAGCTTTAAATGAAAGCTACGGATACGAAGATTTCTCTGATAATAATTATTCACCTCCCGATTATAACCATTCATTTGATCAATCAACCGATTTAATTGATAGCCGAGACTATCAGGATTTTCTCACAGTCCCGAATCAGAACCATCCCACCAGGCAATGCCAGTTTAATGAACGAATCTTTGTCTCAAATACAGAATCAGATTCAAACTCTGAATTTGGACGACATGAACCCATCTCTGAACTTTAAAGATCAGAATTTTCTCTAAGCACTCTTCTTGCTGTGAACGCTAAAAACCTGTACTATATAAAACACGCATCAAATACTTTTAAATTACTTATCGATACCGGTGCTGGTATCTCTATCTTTAAAGAAAATACAGTCAAAAATTGCAAACCACGTTTTCCCGAACAAATTACTATACAGGGTATTACAGATCAAAAAATTTTTGTCACTGAATCAACTTTAGTCCCGTTTTAAGTGGGAAACCTTCATAAGGTTTTCATTTATAACTTAGATATTGATTTCGATGGAATCTTAGGCCTCGATTGCTTAGAACATTTACGAGTGTACGATAGACCTCAAAAACAAACAACTAATCACAAATTTTAAAACATTACCTCTCCACAAAGTCGAAACTAATTCGCGTAACAATGAACCCCTAATCAAAATAAAATAGATCCCAGATCCGAACAAATATTCAAGTTAAAATGTCATCTGTCAAATACAGATGCAATTTTGCACAGAAAATAAAAAAAAATCCATATCCCCAAAGCGTTAGTACACGTAAATGAAAAAGGAGAATTTCTGACATCCGTAGTAAACGTAAATGCAATTCCCAAAATTATCGACTTTTCCAATATAGTAATTGAACCCTATTTAAACTACCCTATCCTAAATTTCCATTCGAACGATAACTTGGAAAATTATTGCTCTGATAAAATTCTGATAAAATCTGATAAAATCAACAAAATAAAATCTCGACTTCGAACAGAACATCTTAATGAGAAAGAACAAGAACTAATAACAAATCTTTGCTTAAATTACTAAGACATATTTTATTTAGAAGGAGACAATCTCACTTTCACCAGTAAGATTAAACATCAAATTGAAACTAATAACGCCAAACCCATTTTTACGAAATCATACAGATATCCTCAGATCCACAAAAAGGAAGTTAAATCTTAAGTACATAAGATAATCAATGAAGGAATCATAGGGCCCTCTACTTCTCCTTGGTCATCTCCTGTTCGGGTTGTTCCCAAAAAAATGGATTCTTCTGGAGAACAAAAATGGCGAGTAGTAATAGACTACCGCAAGCTCAACGAATATACCATTGACGATAAATACCCTCTTCCTAATATCTCCGATCTTTTAGACCAGCTTGGAAAGTGCCAATATTTCACAACTCTCGATCTTGCCTCCGGGTTTCATCAGATCAAAATTTATCCCAAAGATATTCCGAAAACAGCTTTCTCCGTCGAAAACGGACACTATGAATTTATTGGATGCCTTTTGGACTTAAAAATGCACCGTCCACATTCCAGCGTGTCATGGACAATATCCTTTTATTTATTTTGAACAAACGATGTCTTGTCTACATGGACGACATTACAGTATACTCTCCTACCATTCACGAACATATTTCTCATCTTACCGAAGTCTTTAAACGTCTTTGAAAAGCTAATCTTAAAATCCAGCCTTATAAATGTGAATTTCTTAGAAAAGAATTGGCGTATCTCGGACATCTCATTATCCAAGATGACGTCAAGCCTAACCCTTCAAAAGTTGATTGTATCCAACGATTTCCTGAACCGAAAACACCAAAAGAAATAAAATCTTTCCTAGGTCTAGCCGGTTACTATCGTCGTTTTATTTCCAATTTTGCCAAACTCTCTAAACCTCTCACTAGACTACTCCAAAAAGACGTTGCTTTTAATTTTGACCCAGATTGCAAGCAAGCTTTTAAAGATTTGAAAAACGCTTTAATTTCTGACCCAATTCTGACCTATCCAAACTTTAAGGAACCATTTGTCCTCACAACAGATGCAAGTGCATCCGCCATCGGCGCTATATTATCCCAATGAACCATTGGAAAAGATCTTCCTATATCATATGCTTCACGTACCCTGTGTAATGCTGAAACAGGATATTCGACCATTGAGCGAAAGCTCCTTGCCATCGTATGGGCTGTAAAACATTTCCGACCCTATCTGTTCGGTAGAAAATTTACCCTAGTAACTGATCACCGTCTACTTACCTGGTTATTTTCTATAAAAGACACTGGAAGCAGACTAGCTAGATGGCGCCTCAAGCTTGAGGAATACAGTTATAAAATTATTCATAAACCGGAAAAAACCAACAAAAATGCGGACGCCCTTTCTCGAATTAAAATCAATAATTTTAAAGAATGTGCTAATTGTCATAGGACAATATCAATATACGCTTCGAATCATACGGAATCTGACGAAGAGCCAAATGAAACCAATGAAGAAGAAATCACTGAACATTTTAATCAATTTTTCGAACTGTATAAAACTAAATCACTCATTGATTATTCTAAAATTGAAATATCTAATGATCAATTATTAGACAAATCGCATAAGAACATCATCACCTTTCTTGATTTTGATAAATTTTGAAAAACAATATAGATTTTAACTTATCAAAGATTAACATATTTGGTAGTAAGGCTGTCAAAAATCGGAAATATTTTATTATTTCTCTTCCTTTTGATCCCGAAACAGTAGTACAACACCTATTCTATATCGTTTATGTCGCACAAAATGAATTTGACCTATCGCAAAATCCATTACGTCGAAAATCAACTCGAATTACAAATTCTAGAAATATTTTCTTTTATCTTTACCGATAAAGAAATACAACTGAGAATCTGTCAAGATGTTATTAAAACTCCGGAACAGGATGAAATACCCCAAACACTAGATCATTACCACCGTGACAAAAGCAATCTCCATCGGGGTATAAATGAAACTATACAAAGAATAAATAAAAAGTATAATTGGCAGGGCATCACAAAGAATGTAAAAAATTTTATAAAAAATTCCGAAATATGTCAAAAAGTAAAGATCTGTAGAAAAAACTTAAGTAACCCGTTAGTCATCACCGAAACACCTAAAACACCGTTCGAAAAAATTAACATAAATCTTTTCGAATACCCTACCAGAAATTACGCATTAACTATCAGAGACGAGCTCACTAAATTCACACAGGCGTATCCTCTTGAAGACAAAACAGCTAAATCAGTCGTCAATCATCTTTTTCCAACACACCATTACGCATACACTGTGGCTATGGACGTGAATTCGACAATGCTTTGATGAAAGACCTTTGTGAATTGTACGACATAAAACTAACCTTCTCAAGTGTGGGCCATCCACAATCTAACTGTTCTATCGAAAGATTTCACGCAACCCTAAGCGAAATGATAAGATCTAATCAAGCTGAAAATCCCGATGAACATCCGTTCAATGTTCTGCCTTATGCAGTTATTTGTTACAATAACACAAAAAATAAAACCCACGGATTTACACCATACGAACTTATTTTTGGAGATAGTTCTTTTAGACCACCCGAAATACTTTACAATAAAAAAATCCTTATATCAAAATACGTTAGAGACTTAAGTAATCGTATGCAATACTTCTACAAAGTGGCACGAACCAAAACGGAAAGACAAAAAGAAAAGGCTAAAGAAAGATTCGATCAACATGGGTCATCAAACCCTTCAGAATATAAAATAGGCGATAAGGTTTACGTCAAGGAATCGCAAATTAAAAATAAATCCCAAAATAAATTTAATGGCCCTTTTGAAATCCAAGAAATTCACGTAAATTCTGCTACTTTATTAAATACCCAAACCAATAGAACAATGAAAGTAAATTTTGATAAATTAAAACCCTATCATGAGTAATTTTCTTTCAGATTCCTCGGACTGATCTCCGTCATCCTCTCCCAGTATACGTTAACTCCAATCAACAACACTGTTGGAATCTTTTTTCATGAAGAAACCAATCTCAAAATTTCGAACGACAAATAAACCCTCCTTGTATATAAAGACATGCAACCAATCAGAGACGTTATCGACAAAACGACAAAACTTAGAAAATTTATTGGATACCATTGAAGAAGATGTACCTCGAATGCTTGCATTTAAATCCGAATTCCAAACTCACATAAGTCTTCTCAAACAAATCTCTAGTTCTGTTAATCTCAAATATACAGAAATAATGGCTGATACGAAACAATACACATTCCGAGAGAAACGCGGACTTATTAACGGAATAGGTTCGATATGGAAATCAATTACCGGCAACTTAGATTCGTCAGATGACGAATATTTCAATGAATGTATAAATAAAATAACCCGCGATGAGTATCAAATCGAAAACTTATTGAGAAATCAAATATCGGTTACAACTTCTGTTATTAAAAACTTTAACGCCACAATCCGGAAATTACAAATAGACGAGGAAACATTCAACAATAATACTAAGGAAATTCGAGAGTCAATAATCGATATCTCTGACCATTTAAAATTCTATCAATCTCAAATCGATATGCTAAACTTTTGTGAATTACTAATGGAAAGCTATTCATTTATCGAAGACTCTTTAAATGAAATAATAAATCCCATATCCTTTGCTCGATTAAAAATATTACATATCTCAATCATCACCCCGTTTGATTTAATTGAATCACTTAGGCATATATCACAATCATTACAAAAAATAATCTTCCATTATCAATCTATACTTCAAATCTAGCTCAATATCTCGATATTATCGAATTGCAAGACTATCAATTAGACACAAGAATCGTGTTTGTCTTAAATATTCCTTTAACTGATGCAGAACAATAT